CGGCAGCTTCGTCGCCCCACCCTTGCTCTGCTTTCCCTCTCCTCTCCTTCTCGTCTTCTTCACCGCCACCCTCCATCGTTGTATCTGTAACTCGAAAAACTCTGTTGCACACTGAGATTAAGCTAAAGGGTTGAATTCGACCGCTTAGTCGAAACGTTCGTTCTAAAAGCTCGATAAATTTTTAACTCTTTCAACATCTTTTGATAACTTCTAGAAAGCTTTTACTAGTTTAAAAAAATATTGACGAGTTAACTTTATAGTTTGTAAACATTAATTATATATACAATTTAACTTTATGCATTTAAAAAAATATTGATGAAATTTCAAACAAAATATAGTTTTATAAGTTGATAAACAATTTAGAAAAAGTATGAATAATAAAATTTATTATGTAAATATTTGTTTATTTTTTCAAAATTTATTTATTAATTTAAACTTAATTTGTTTTATTTATTCAAAAATATAGATATAAAATATAAATTATTATAAATATAAATAATTGATATAATAACTATATAATAACTATAATACACTAAACATATTTCCTATTATATTTATATTATTTACATACATGGAACATTATAATAAATGTAGAGTTCTTTCTAAATGTACTTCTTATACATTGCTCTCTCTCTGCTATTCTCGTACGTGTATTACGTATGATATACGTTGCCAGCTGTCGAACAAGGGCTTAATCTCACTTCCTTGCCTCTCCTCCTTTTGATGATATGAGCTTGCATTTTCGCTGAGTTGGCACAACATGTGCCCAAGTCAAAGTGCTTGGGTTTGCACTCTACGTTAGTATCGCATCCTCGCTTTCGCTGAGGCTAGCAGCGATCTCATTTTGTAGCCTTCTCTGCGGACTGTTTCCGATTGCTTGTATATATTGACCAATAGATCAACATTCTTAATATATCATTTATCTTATATTAACCTTACCACATGGAATGTTCCTTCGGTCCTATTAAATACAGGCTATATATTCTGTGACGAAATCTCTACGAGTACTTGTAACGAATGAAATTTCTACGTCATATTGTGAATGCTAATAACAAAAATTAAATGAGAAAAATTATTGATATAATAAACAGAAGAATTAAAAATTGTTATTTGAAATGATTTTGAATACAATAATAATTAATTTTAAAGTATATAATATTAGATATAATCAAACTGTAATTTTTTTTATATAAAATTATAGAGTTTTTTTATATCTGAAGAAACTACTTGAATTGTAATTCATCAATGAATATGTTATTATATAAAAATAATAATATTTTAAATTATCTCTGTTGTCAAAAATATCATATCATCGAAATATTTTTCAAAAAAGTTTGATTTATTTTTGATGATTGGTTAAGTATTGTGTAGTGACGGCGTCTGAGGAGGGCGCCACGTGTCGGTTTCTCTACTTTCTTATGGAACTTCGCTGGTTCAGCATTTTTCCGTTCCGCCATATAAAAGCACCGGGTACTAAATCGACTCTGATCGAACATATTTTCTGTTTTCGTACAGTTGTTTGCATATTGGTAATTTTCATATATATTGAATTTTTGAAAATTGGAATTTATGAGTTATTATAAGCAGTTAATCGGTCATTAAATGTGCAAATGCACCATGATTGGTTTACAATTGCTGCCGAAAATGGGCTGAAAACGTCGACCCACTAACCAAAGCCAGGCGTTCTATTAACAGTTCCAAAAACATTTGCCCCAGCTAGTAATTTCGTTTTCGATACATGGTGTGTTCTGTGCGATCTTTTTACTGTTTCTTCATATTGAAGTATAGAAAGTTTATATGTATTTTTTCTTTAACATAACACCGGTATTATATTCTTAAGATATTTTACATTTTCCAAATACTTCTATCACTCTGCTGAATATACGCACTGCGCAGGTTAAGCCGGCGCGTTTCAAGGTAACCTAAAACATTCAGTTTTATACATGCTGTTAAGTGTTTCACTTTCCGTAAAGGAATGAATTTTTTTATTTAACTGAGTATTAATATTTTGTTGAGTTCATTTTTATGGAATATTGAATTCGCGAGTGAAATGTTTATGATCTTGCATGCCACATGGAATTCTTTTTTACGAAAAAATTTATGAAGGCGTCGAAATGTATGTTTATTGACCGAAGCTCGTATTTTATACATATTGCATTTTTTTTTCAATACTTTAATATAATAAAAAAACTAGTGTAATATTTTATAAATTTTATTATAAATTTTTTTTCGTTTATTTTTAAAAAAAAATATATATAATTTTATATTATATGATTATATATAATTTCATTTTATTTAAATTAATTATAAAAATATATATAGTTGACTAATATAATGAAACAATTTTTAATTTTATTAATATATTATAAGAAATATAAAATATATATAACAAATTTATATAAGAAATATTTGGATTTGCATTGCATAACAATAGATTATAATTATGTTATACAAACATAATATAACTTATATAATTCATATTTTAAAGAATTATAATTATTATTTATAATTTTTTAGGAGACGGTATTCAACAAGTCGTGATGCATTGGAGGTTCGGCGGTCCTTATCCAAAAACCGACCAGAAATCAGTGTTACAAAAGCAATTTGTGTGACAAAGCATAAAAGTGCAAAATTATATTTTAAGACATATTCAGAAGCTTTCTTATCAGTGGACTATATATCCTTGGAAGAAAGTAGACATTCTTAGTGACACTGAAAGTACAAGTGAAAAATATAAAAATTGGGGGGGCTGTTTGACCGATGGACAAACGGAAGATGATGCCCAAACGCCCTCGAATGGATAACCTGAGGGGTCCTATTGCAAATGGACCCATTCAGACACGACCACTAGTAGCTTTGTTAGATGGTCGAGATTGCTCTATAGAAATGCCTATTCTTAAAGATGTTGCAACAGTAGCCTTCTGTGATGCACAATCTACATCAGAAATTCATGAAAAGGTGAATCATTTAAAATGGGAAATATATATTATTAAAATATATTTGAATTGAAAATAAATAATAAATATATTTTGTTGCTTGTAATTATTTTTCAAGATATAATTGTAATTTTTCTATAGGTATTAAATGAAGCAGTAGGTGCATTAATGTGGCACACTATAATTTTGACAAAGGAAGATCTCGAAAAATTTAAAACATTACGGATTATTGTGAGAATTGGATCTGGAGTAGATAATATAGATGTCAAAGCAGCAGGTGAACTCGGCATCGCTGTGTGCAATGTGCCTGGATATGGTGTTGAAGAAGTAGCTGATACTACTCTTTGTCTCATTCTAAATTTATATCGACGTACATATTGGTTGGCAAACATGGTGCGTGAAGGGAAAAAATTCACAGGTCCAGAACAGGTAAAAATTTTAAAATATATATAATACTATGCAAAGTTTATGATTTTATTCTTAGAAGGAATGTGAATTTGATAAATTATATCTATAACTAATACAATTATACAAATAGTTATATATATTGATTGAATATTATGCATATTTGTTTTATATCTACAATATCATGTAGCATTGCATATTGATGGTTAAAGAAAAAAATTTTTGGTTTTGTGTTATTCTAAGATCAAACTATTGAATTCTATTTTCTCTTGTTTTATGAAATCATTAGAAATCTAATATTTAATCTTTTTCAGGTTAGAGAAGCTGCAACAGGATGTGCAAGGATACGGGGTGACACACTTGGAATAGTTGGATTAGGTAGGATTGGTTCTGCAGTTGCTCTGCGTGCCAAAGCCTTTGGTTTCACCGTGATCTTCTATGATCCTTATTTACCAGATGGAATTGAGAAATCTCTTGGTCTTAACAGGGTTTACACATTACAGGTTTGATATTAGTCTTTTTTCTTAATTGTATAATATTTGAATTTTAATTACTATTTATATTATTTTATAATTATGTTTTATTATAGGATTTGCTATTCCAGTCAGATTGTGTATCTTTGCATTGTACCTTGAACGAGCACAATCATCACTTAATTAATGAATTCACTATCAAACAGGTATTACAATTTTAATTTAAAATTTTTTTTGGAAATACTTTTTTTCTTACAATTTCATTCTCTTATAAAAATTAAATGAATACAGATAATTTATTATTTTCTTTTAAAAAATGACAATTAGTGTAAATTGTTTACATCTTAATTCTTTGTTATAGATGAGACCTGGCGCCTTTTTAGTTAATACAGCAAGAGGTGGTCTGGTTGATGATGATGCCTTAGCCGCAGCATTAAAACAAGGCAGAATTCGTGCAGCAGCACTAGATGTACATGAAAATGAGCCATACAATGTTTTTCAGGGTCAGTGCTCACAGTGTGAGTTTTATCTATCCATATCTAACCTTCTCTCACGTGATTAATATTTTCCCTTCATCATCTAATTTTCTTTCGCTATTGGATAACATAAGCTTATGCGACAGAGGTAACGTTTGACAATAAAAATAACTTTCTAATCTATGTAACAATACCGATTATTTTCATTTATAGTATCACAAAATATATATTTTTTATTATAAATAGAAATTATTTTGAAATAATAAAAATTATATTACAAAATAATTAAATTAAATCTTAATTTAATTATATAAAATATATAAAAAAGATAATTTTTATATTAAAAATAAATACATAAAGAAAGGTGGTAATTAAGAAGCATTAAATAAATTATTATTGATTTAATTATTATAATGCCGAATATTATTATGCATTTTAAATTAAAAGTTAAGAAATATTGTTTTTTGAAATATACTATATAATACTCAGAATTTGATGACGATTTTTTAATGATTCATTGACGTAGTACATTCAATTCTAATGAGTTCATTAATGAATCATATGTATTGTTGTACAAGTTATTATAAGTATTATATTTATATATAAAATATAAATATAGGTAGTATAAAAATATATTTGCTTTTATTAATATTGGATTATCAAAATAATTTGTAAAATTAAACAATTAAAAAATTGATTAATTTTACGAATATTAAAGAAATAGTAATATAGTATATTTATTGTATGTTATAGGTCCATTAAAAGACGCACCCAATCTATTGTGTACACCACACGCAGCATTTTACAGCGACGCAAGCTGCACGGAACTTCGTGAGATGGCAGCCAGTGAAATACGAAGAGCTATCGTTGGTCGCATACCTGACTGCTTACGAAACTGTGTGAACAAGGAATACTTCCTTTCTTCGACCGGGTAAGCTTCGTCCGTAT